TTATAATTCAAATTTGACATAGATATTTTTATATTGTCTAGATATATCATATCTTGTAGATTTTTAATATGTTTAAATGGTAATATATTTATATCTTTTATATATTAAATACAAAAATAACTTTAGTGTTTTAAGCTGTTGTTATATTGCTGCTTCTAAAAAAGAAAAAAAACCCACATCTTTTTTTATAACTTGTGGAGTTAAAACTGAAAGGGAACTGCCTCTCATTTGAGGGGGGGGTTTGGACCAAATTTCAAATGTCAACATTTCCAATATGCACAGGATGAGTATTTTTATGTCCATGCGGGAACCGAGTTTGATGTTAGTACTCCATCAGTACAGGGTATTTCATTAAAGGTCATGATTCTAGTTTGCCATCTGTCTTGTAAGGTATGCGTGTATATGTCGTTACATCTAATAAAGTATGAGAGAATATTGTAGTTGGTTAAAATTAGCATCAGAGATAGGGGAAAAAACATGCTTGCTCCAGGAGTTAATAGGTTTGTCTTACATTGTTGCTTGGTTATCCAAGTAGTTCTTGCAGACCAGGCTAATACAGAGTTCAGTACTTATTTTGCAAATGAGTATGCTGTAAGAATGGTTGCTGCTAATACTGAGCTGTACAGGCTGGCACGAGATTCCTTAATCATAGGGACAGCACTGCCCTAAAAAAAGCACAGCCTTTAGGTGGCATTTCTGGATGGCGCAATAGCAGTCTGAAGAATGATCAAAACAGATTCACCTGAGAAGGTAAAAACTGTTCCCTGAGGGATGCTCCTCACTAGATATGGCTTTAATTTGCCACAATGTGTGATATAGAGGCAAACGACTTTTAAACATGAAATCAGTATTGTACTTTAGCTTCCATGTTTGCTGGGCGTTGGTGAGGCTTGTGAAACTGTAGTTCTAGCAGTCATTTTATTGATGTAAGCAGTTAGCTATTACAGCTGATTTAGTAACTGTTTTCTCGTAGGCTGCCTGTCACGCATCAGGCCATAAGGCTCAGTTGTTTGACATGGATATGCCGGGTAGAGACCATTACCCTGTTCCAGTCATGGAATTTGACGGTAAGAGGTACAGAATGTGCACAGTAACATAGATACTACAGTATAGTCTTTAAAATAATAGAAGTCCTTTCTGATTTCAGATTGGCATTTACTTTGCTAAAATTGCTTAGTATACTATGAAAGGTTGAGAAGAATGAAGATTTTCGTAGCATAAGAGAGAAAAATGTATTTTGATTCCAGTTTGATTTTAACAGATTAAACACCACTCACTATCAAAATTAGTTAAAGTTCTGTATCTGGAGTAAAGTTGCTGGCAACAAAGAGGGTTGCTGGCTAAATATTGTGCAACCATTTGTTTTGTATAATGCACTTTTTATGTAAATAGTGAAACAAAAGTTGTGTAGAAGCAAATGACAACCAGCATTGTTCATCAAAATAGTAACTTGGTGTTTTCAATGCTTTAAATTCAAGCGTGTGAAAGTATTCTCACAAAAGCAATATAAAACTAAGGTTTAAATTGTAAACAAGCAGAGACTGTGGATGGAGTGTTTTTTTTCTTATTTGAGCACTGTAAAACTTTAAAATGTCCTATAGGAGGCAGTGATGGTATTATTTCATGTAAGAAAACAGCTAGTCTTGCTATAAATGCATTAAATTCCAAGTAAATATTTTCACTTGTACTAACTACTCTAAAACTTATTCAAACATATTTCATGAAGATAGAATTTAAAGTTAAAATTATTTTTAGGTTTAAAATCCTGCCAATTGTTTTGACTGTTATGGTTACTGAATATGCTTTAAAAATAAAATTACTCCTAAGGTGATATAAAATTATTACATTCTATGGGTTCTAATAATATCCAGAAGGTTAACAAGCAATGAGGATAAGGCATATATATTGTGTACATTATAGCAGCGTAGGGCTGCAACGAATCTCCGGAGGTCATCTAATTTTCAGCCTTGTGCTGGGTGAAGAATGAACTATTGGTAAAGCATTCTAACAGTGACTTTGATACATAACACGCAGTGACTGAGGAATCTTTTTCAGCAGGTAACATGTTCCATTACTTCCCGTACATAAAATAGAGAGCTTTTCCTAAAAGTTTTTTCAGCCTTTTCTGCAATTAAACTAAGTATTTTAATCCTTCATGCAATGAAGAACAACTGAATACTGGTTTTATAACATGTTAATAGACTGAGAGTTCTTCAGTATATCACCTTCATTGTTTTAGTCAGCCTCCTACTGCAGTAAAAAAACCAACCCTGTACTTCTTGTCTCTTATATGTTATTGTCGTGGTTTATAAAACCAGGGGTACAGTTTTTTCCTAAACACCTGGTGGGCTGAGGCAGGGAACTGGGAGGGTCTCACTCACCACTTAGGGTCACGGGCAAGAGACCGACATGACTCGTGAAGAACAATAAAACAACTGAATTTATTAACTATTTACAATAAGAAGCAGGATATTGAAAGAGAGAAACCACATCTTACACAAAAGGCACTTCTCCCCCATCCCTCCCTTCGTCCCAAAGCCCAAAGGCTTTGTTCCGTACCTCGCCCCCCACCCCCGGCAGCACATGGAGGGGGAGGATGGGGCTGCAGTCGGTTCAAGCCGCTCCTTGGTCTCAAAGTCCCGTGTGTGCCGCGTGCTCTCGTCCCCTCTCCACCTCTTCCCTTTCCTAAATATGTTATTCGCAGAGGCGTGATTGGCCGCTGCTGGCATGGGCGGGTACATCCCGAACAGGGCACTGCCTTCCAAGCAGTTTCTTACAAAAGTGTGGTGTCCCTTCCCCCACTCCCCCTGTTACCAGATGCTAGGAGGGGGCTGGGGGATAACTCGTTAAGAGTCATTTAAAGAAACGGAGCCAACACCTTAACCCCTTCCTCGCCATCAGACAACCCATAACAGTTATTCCTATAATAAAGACCAAATATATGCCTCTTCAGCATTACGTTGTTCATTCATATGAGATTTGATTCCATTAGAGTCCTACAAATCCACCTTGTTATTCCTAGTTGGTATTTCATATTTTCTTGTATTTAAGTGTGCTGTCTACTGAATTTTATTTTGTTGATTTTTTTTAAAAAAGATCATTGTATTTGTAAGTATGTTTTTAGAAGTGTTAGCAGCTGCTTTAAAAATGGTATAAGCTCTGATTTCACCAGTCCCTTTTGTGGTTTCAATTTTCAGCCACAAATAAAAAAAAAGTACAGAATGAGACATTGAAGCAAACCTTTCAAGACTTTCTGTGCTCTGTAATCACAGTTTGTCAAAAGGCCTTCAATAACTACTCACTGAGCACATTTGCAAAGGTGTAATTCTACTTGATTTACTGAGATAGACCAGGAAATTGTCATAATAGCATTTCTCATTCCTTTTTACAAGGTATCTTCACTTGTTCCCATGTTCTTGTTTTGCAAGAGCTTTAAGTGTAAACTCTCAAACACTTCCCTGAAATGCAATAAACATAATAGTGATCTGTTAACTGTGTTTGTAGTATCGTGCAAAAAAGTTTCTGTGGTGTTAGAATCAAACTCGCTGGTCCAAACAACAGTAGTTTTGCAAGGCATGGGACATAGAATGACTCCACCTCTAGTTTATAATGCTGGGCCACTAATGGGAAATCTGTATTGGATTTTATCACCAAACACAGCTATTTTAAGGATTTCTTCCTCCTGCGTGGCCAGAAGGGAGAGACTTTTGAGCAGCAAGACTGACTAGCTTGTTGATCCCAAGGAAGGTACAACCAGCACAAAAACTGGGATAACTGAGATTGGGTGGAAATACGGAGGAAAAAAGGTTTTGCTCACTGTTAGTTTCACAAATTCCAGTCTTTCATCTATGTTGAAATCAGTGAAGCAGAGGTATAAAGATACTGCTGGATAGGGCCTATGAAATGTAATAGTTAAATTTATTAAATTATATATTGCTTTACCAAGAAGATAAACTACTGATGATAAATTATCAAAAGATAAATTACTTGTAGTTGAAATCCCATGAAAACAAGACTTCAGAAATTCTACATAATAAAATGTAAATACTAGGTACTCTTCCACAGCTTTTTGTTCAATGAGTGATCTTAACCTTCTTCCAAAAATTTATTGATTAAATAATACACATACCTTGTTCATTTGTTACATCTTGCCCTCAAGTTAAAAAAAAAACAAACACAAACCAGCAACTTGTTTGTCTGTTTATAACTGTCCCACAAATCCTAATTACTTGTTTCTATTTAAATTGAGGCAATTTTAAACATATGCATTATGAATTAGAAAACTCTTTATATTTCTATCCAAAGAGGTGCTTAATACTTGAAGTATTTATTCCAGTAAATACCATTGCAATGAATAATAACGTAAAAACGTATTATACTGATTATCAAAAGGCAAAGTCAAAGAACCCATTATTCACATCAAAACTAAGAACTGCATCGTAACAGCTCACTTACACTGTTACTAGCTTTACTGAGCTGTTTATAAAAAAAGGAGAAAATTGAAAGGCACTAGCCCTATACCCCCAAAATTTTTTTTTTTTTAAGTAAGAACAGGCTTCTCACACCAGCAGCAGAAAATTAGGTACAGTTGAAATTCAGTTGTACTGGCACAGCTAACACAGTGAGTTCTTGAAAATCTGTGCTCGCTCATGTTCACTTTCTGTAACTTTTCAATCATGAAGGTATGAATTTTTTTAAACTTGTAGTGTAAATTGTAAATCTTACATGAGTTATACATTATTATAAGGTTTATATGTTTAGAGTAAAATTTAAAGTGTAAACAATTGAGATTTTCATTTGTGTAAGTTTGTATTTATTAGAAAGTATACTTTTTTTTAATTGTTTTAATACCTAGAACTCTTAAGACATTTGTGGAACAGTAACTGGTATCATTTTGGTAGTACCACACAGCATTTATTTCTCTGAAAGGTGATTTTCAACACTTGTAAACCAAGTACTGTCAGTAAATGTAACAGCACTGAAACAGTTTTTATTCAACCATTTGTAGTTGCATTTACTCTACTAAGTTATTTTTAAGATGCCAACCATCGTATCTTCTTTTCTAGCTTTGGCACCTTGATGGATTCTTCTTCAACTCTTTTTGAAATATCAGTTCCAAGGGGAGCTCTAGAAAATAATAAAATTATGTATTTTTTTAAAATAAGTAACATTATTGCCGTTATAACACAGCTACACAGATTCACAGACCTTTTTTACAACGACCACGGGAGTCACAGTATTTTTGCAGATTCCCTGCACTGTTAGACTGTGTGACAGTAAAAATGGTCCACCTGCAGCTGTACCTAGAAACACCTTTATATTGAGGAAATGTTTGCATTCCAAACTCAGGAGACACCGTTATGATTCCAAAGCTCTCTTTGGGGAACATTGTTTTATTTAGATTCTGATTTTAGTTAAAAATCCATTTTACATCTCACTGATGAATGCAAGACACATGAGAGATTCACAGGTTATCTCCTGCTTTGATGATCTTAAAGAATGTATAGTCTACAGCAAATAAAACTTAGTGTTTTATTCACTGAGATATATAAAGCAAGTTATTTTTGAAGTAGAGTATTTTATTATATTTCATGTAAAAATTATAAAACCTTTTTTTTTTTTTTTTTTTGGTCCTGAAACCTTCCAAGTCTGTTTTCCTGGAAATGGAAAGGGGAAAAAACGGAAAAAATTTTCACCTTTAAGACCAGATGGTACTTTTGAAATACTAGAATTTTGTTTGGTCTTAAGCCTAAGATCTACTTAAATCCATAGAACAAGTCTTACCTAAAAAGTAATTAAAAAAAGAAATCAGTATTATCAGTAAAAAACCCAGTATTATCAGATGTTATACATCAAATTCTTTTTTTAAATTGATTGCCATGATGAATACACAGTTTGACTTCGAGCATTTTGATTTAAGTCTTCAGTGACTTCAGTCTTCAGTGACTAGGGGGAATGTATTATAGCTTAACTAGCTCCAGTGTTCCCACACCACAATGGTAATAGGCAAATACATCGAACTGTTATGATATGTGGTAATTTAAGTTTCTGAGCCAAAACAAACATAAATGCCAGACACAATAATTTGTATTTCAGAACTACATTGAAAAGGAAGTGCTGGTAACTGTTAAAGCTTATATGCACTGCAAAGACACTCCTCATTAGCTTCTGCCACTCTTTTTAGTCTACACCTCCTTCCACTTTCACTGGCCATAGTGAATAAGGGAAAAAACAGACTGTGAATGAATTGAGTCACTTACTTTGGTTCATAGCGGATGCCATCAGTACTATATAAAACACCAAGTCCTGCACGTAACCTTTCAATGCCATTCCTAAGCAAGAAAGCAATTATGTTAAAATGTACATTGTAACTCTCTGAATATGTGGATGTGCTTCAGTCACCATGAACAGAAGTTCTTTACTCTAATGTCAATTTTTAAAGAACATTATAGAAACACATGCAAAGAGAAACAACTCTTACCATGCAATCATAACACCATTATCAGTGCACAGTCTTGGAGGAGGACACAGAAGAGCAAAATTATTTGCATCTGCCAAAGTCTGTAGACCTTTTCGGATATACTGATTACTTGCAACTCCTCCTGATACAACCTGACAGCAGTTTCCCAGAGAAAAAAAGGCATTAAATCAAAAGTACTGATGGGTCACACTCAACTAACATCCTATTCACAGACAGGTTAGCAGATTAAGTTCTGCAGACAGCCATAAATAACACGTTTGAAGATTAAAACATATCTTTGAAGATGAAAACATATCAGAAAAGAGTATGATAAGTGAGCTTATTATGCTAAAAGAGATTCCTGAATAACTAGAACAACTGAATAACTATAACTGCATGCTATGACTAGAACAGCTGTCAAGTACTGGGGAGCACTAGGTCAAATGATGTGGCATAAATTGTTATGAAAGGTTGGATTAGATAATAAGAAAATCTCTTTCTATCTCAAAACCAAACTATGAAAGGCTTTATTGTAAATATTTATATGACTATTACTTTAATCCTGGTATTTTAACAATGTAATACATACTGACATCTTCCTCACCTGTCAAGGAAGAAAGTACAACAAGCCATCTGCATCTTCCAATGATGTTATATGGTCAAATATAAACAGGAAAAAAATAATGTATACTCACCAAAGTTGCATTTTTTGATGATAATATGCTATTTTTTATGCAGAAGAGCATGGCTCGATATGTCCTCTGGATAATATGAACAGCCACTGCATGCTGTACAGCAGCAGCAATATCCTTAACACAGGATAGGATCTCACCTTCTTGAATACCTATGAAAATGTACGATCAAATGGGTTTTGCTTAGTACAGGTCATCAAAAACATGGTTTATATCTGAATTTGTTTAAAAATACCTTCTTCTTTTTCTTTTTGTATAATGACTCTATTGACAAGGTTCTGAAGTCCAGAAAAAGAAAAATCACAGTTACGATATTGTTGCATGGGAGGTCTGAATGTGTGTTGTTGCCAGTTTCCACCTTGAGCCAAGTGCTCTATCGCCTTCCCTCCAGCCATGCTGTGGCACTCTGGGTGTTTTCTTAGAGAGAGTCTTCTTGCTACCTAAGGAGATAATAAACAGCAGACTCAGAAGAGAGAGCTAAATTAATTCCTTCTGTAACTGCATCACTGTATTGTAGTGCATGGAGTAAAATTAGACACCACAAAATCCAATCCAACATGAAATTGCAAACAGGGCACAATAAAGACAAGACATAATGCCAGCTGTTGTTTTGGGTTGTTGTTGGGTTTTTTTGTTTTGTTTTTGTTTTTTTCCTGGAGTAATTAGAAATGCAATTCTAGAACAATTTGGGCAAACATGAGGATCAAAAAATTTTGCAGGGAAACATTAATGACCCAAATTTTATTCTATAGGAAGCACACACGGACTGCCATACTGTATTTACCAGATAAACAGGAACAAAGTTGGTTTCAACTTGCATCAATCCCCTTTCTGACTCCACTCACTCTCCCACTTTTTTAGTTAATACACACAAATACTGTTTATAAAGTCAGGCTGTGTTTGGAAACAAAACTGCAAGTGACCAATTTTACAGACTGTACTCAGTGACCCAGAAATCCTAGATCATTCTGAAACCCAAACTAGGCTTCAGAATGAAGAAAAAAAATTCTAAGGAATGTTTTAATGTGTATTGTTTTAAACCTGACAGTATCCTTTAAAATATCACTACCAATCTTCTCAAATTCATACAGCCTGTTTGTATAATGGGTATCAATGAAACTTCCAACACTACTTTTGGTTATGTTGTCTACTTGCTAAAAATAGAATTAATTTACAGATGTTACAACTGATGCTATGCATAGATTTGTTAAAAATCTATGCCTCCTGTGTCTTAAATCTATGGTATTTCAAAATACACACACAAAAAAAAAGTAAAGCTCGTGTTGCACTGTATTACTGTCCTCAGGCTGATGATAATACTACCATTATGTAGTATAATTGCAATAAAAAGAAGAAAAAACTAGATTCACTTATGTAAGGCAATATTACCTTATCCAGCATGTCACCTGGTGCTATATCTATGGTCTGTCCAAGCAGAAGGAAATCTGAAACTCCTTGTGCTATTGCCAAGATGCAGTGGCCTCCAGAGAGCAGAAGAACCAAGAAGGGAAATTCCACGTGATGTGTCAGTCTGATGGTCAGTGCGTGAGCCTCCATGTGATGAATGGGTATGAACGGCTTCTGGTACCTGTTCACCAAGTTCAAGCTGTACTGCAGTCCCACGCCAAGGCTTAGGGCAAGTCCTGGTTTTACCGTGGTTGCAATAGCCGCTAGTTCACGTACAGAAATTCCACTGACCCTAAGCGCCTCTTCTACTACTTGCTCGATGTTTTCTCTGTGAAGTTGCTGTGCCACCACAGGATTTATTCCACCTGCTCTAGTAAAAACAAAGAATGACAATACATTTGTATTTCGTAACGGATAGCATGGCATAAAAATAGATTTTAAACATCTCTTAACCTTGCCATATCCTGCCTGTTTCCTTAGTACATTCTCAAATGGTGTGTAAAGGGCATCTATGCACTGAAGAGAGCGTAATTATCACTGGGAGGTCAGAAAAAGATGTAACTTGCCCTTTTTCTGTACATGCACCTGAATGCTGTTCAAATATGCCTATATTTGATTAATTTTCCCTTAAAAAAGTGAGACATTTGGTGGTTTTAACAGTAATAATGATTTCATCCTTAATTCAAGCTAAATAAGTAATCTGTCTCTTTTTGAAAGAAAATACTAGAGGAAACTTGTTAAATGCACAGCATTTCTTCCCTCCACGCTTAGTAATTCTCAAGCAGAATGTGGTGTGCCCCAAGAGAGGTCTTTACACCTACCCACTTCTTACCGAGTTTTCTGGAGGACCATTGTACAGATAATATTGCAACTAAGAACAACAATAAAATCATTAATAAGGCAAAAGCCTTGAGAGAAGTATATTCTTACTGTAAATGGACTTCCTTCTGACAGTGCAGCGCTTCTCCCAGAATGGTGCCAGCATCATCCACCACAGCCGCGCCGGTGTCATCGCAGCTGGTCTCTATTCCCAGAACCAGCTTCCCCAGACGCTGTTTTCCAGAGCGCGCAGAGCTGCTCCTCAGCCACGCCGCTCGGCTGCTTTTAACCGATTTCAGAAGGCTTTTGGCCACGCTGTTCATTGTTTAAAATCTAGCTGGTAGTTATGCCTAGGAAAGAACTGTACAGCTGTTATTAGTGGAGAGTTTTCAAGCATGTGGTCTGATTTTCTGAAGCAGGGGTATTACTTTTGAAGTTATGAATGGCTACACATATTTAAGACCCTGAGGGAAAGAAAAGAAAAAAAAAGAGCCGGGAGCTTATGGCTGTGTTACCGTAACAATGCTTCAAGAGCGCTG